AGTGGTGTGAAAAGGAGGAAAGGGTGTATAAACATCACCTTTCACAGCCCACTTGTTTCCCTCTCAACTTTGCCTTGAAATAGAAGCAAACTGGAAACATTTCCGTGGGTCACAACCACAAAGAAAGTCTTTTGTTCAAGTTCAATGGAAGAGTTTTCTAAACAAATAAATGTTCTCCCTTAAGTGGAACCAAATGCTGTGGATTCAAAAGGGAAATGGATCATAAACAAACTGAAGCTGACCTCACTAATATTCACTAAATTAAGGGAAGTACAAACATAAATAGCAACAAACAAACATGAAAGGAAATGCTTCTGAAATTTCTAAGCATTACCTTCCACAAAGGTGAAGATACATACATGGCTGCAAGACAGCATGTCCCGTCCTGCTTCATTTGAAAGCAGACTCTGAACCCACACTGAAGCTAACGCTGCTGCATGTTCCAGGACAGTGCAAAGCACACAATAAGTTACAGGATTAGCCATCACTTTTCTAATTTTTTTTTCCTCCACAAATTAACAATGACTTTGCCTTAGCCCCTCTCCCCTTTTGCAGAAAATTACAGTGATTGCTAAATCTTAAGAAAGTTTCGCCGTCACTAGTAAATGTCAACACCCTGGCCTCCAAGCTGGCTGCAGTCCTTACCTCTTGGCCATATCAACTTCATCAAACTCTCGCTTGGCTAGCAGGGACTGCACCACCGACCTGCTCATGGCCGTGTCATCCGTGTACGAAAGCGTTTCTAAAACAGAAGGTGAAAACATAACGTGGCCATCCAAGGACAAACTCTCCTCCTGTCCTCAACTTTCAGCACTTCCCTACTCTCCAGGGCTTAATTATCTGTATAGCTGGAGTTAAAGCGTTACCAGAAGTTCCCCAGCACTTTGAGCTCACCATTAGCTGTGGTCATCAGAGTAAAAAGGCATAAAGAGAGATGCATCCACAGCAAAAGCGAGACAGAAAGCATGTCAAGAGCTGAGAGAATGTTTGATATCCAGAGGTGCATATGGACAAGCGAGAGACAAGTCTCTTTCTCAAGGAGTTTACAGCGTACACTGACAAGCCGAGAAGAGAAAGCACAGTTGCATTTCTGGACAAGACCACAACAAAACCAACTGCCTTTAAGATCCTGCTGGACGGGTTTACAGGGCTTGCTGCACTGCTCAGAACCCCAACGTGAATCCATCACCACTCGTTAAGAGCTAAATAACCATTCTTGTGCTTCTCTTACTCTACTCCTTACCTATTTTGGTATATCTGTTCCTTGCTGACACCCCTCTGCTGCGATACCCCGGTTCCCAGCACGCTACACACCCCAGCTTCGCTCTGGCACGAGCGGCACAGGCTGAGCACAGCAAACCACACATCCCTCCACACCGGCCGTGTGCTCAAGGAACCAGGAACCGCCCTGGGGGAGCCCGAAGCGGGGCACTGCTTCAGCAAGGTCATCCTCACCCCGGGGGGGGGGG